ACACACACACACACACACACACACACACACACACACACACACACACACACACACACACACACACACATAAATGTCCCCACAAAGCTGTGTTTCTGGAAAATGGTCCTGATGACATAGCAAAAACGGGTCCACACACACACTCGTACTTAAAGATGTTTGTCTTTCTCTCAGATGTTGACGAGTGCGTCTCCTCCGGTGGTTCTGTCTGTGGGTCCCAGCGATGTGAGAATACGATTGGCTCGTACCGCTGCCTGGTCACCTGTGAGCCCGGTTATCAGGTGTCGTCTGACGGCCGCTGTGTAGGTGAGTCTGAGCCTTTGAGCGTCTGATTGTAGAAGATGACTCATCAGAAGCGAAGCAGAAGGAACATGTGTGTGTGTGTTTTTAGATGAGGACGAGTGTGTGTCTCAGCCTGGTGTGTGTGGCTCAGCTCGGTGTGAGWACCTTAGAGGAAGCTTCGTGTGTAAATGTGTCAGAGCAGAAGAAACCTTCAACACAACCAGCAGAAAGTGTGTCACACCTGCAAAACCAGGTAAACTGACAGCTTTCATCCAGGATGTGACAGGTTCTGCTCTATCAAGCTAAATTTAGCTTTTTGTTGTCCTCCTTTGCCTCCTCAGGCGGTTCCTCCTCAAGTGGTTCCTCCTCAGGTTCTTCCTCAGGTTCCTCCTCAGGTTCTTCGTCAGGTTCCTCCTCAGGTTCTTCGTCAGGTTCCTCCTCAGGTTCCTCCTCAGGTTCTTCCTCAGGTTCTTCCTCAAGATCTTCCTCAGGTTCTTCCTCAGGTTCTTCCTCAGGTTCTTCCTCAGGTTCCTCCTCAGGTTCTTCCTCAGGTTCTTCCTCATGTTCTTCCTCAGGTTCCTCCTCAGGTTCTTCCTCAGGTTCCTCCTCAGGTTTTTCCACCTCCTTCCATGGTAGTACGGTGGACGTTGCTCCAGTGCTGCCCCCGCTGCCTGTGTCTGGTCCTGGGAAGGTCAGGGAGTGCTACTACAACCTGGCTGATCAGGAGACCTGCAGCCTCCTGGCCTCCAACACCAGCCACCAGGAGTGCTGCTGCACTGTGGGGGAGGGCTGGGGGCTGGGCTGCCAGTACCACACCTGCCCACCTGTAGACACAGGTAAGACTGTGAGGAGGACTGAAGGGTCTGAAGGTGATGCAGCAGGTTCCACAGCTACAGTTTGTGTTGCAGCTGAGTTCCTGTCTCTGTGTCCCAGTGGAAGAGGGTACGTAACACCAGGACCAGGAGCTTTCAGCTACAGAGGTACAAACTTCTATCCACCAGAAGGTTGTTTCTCTGACCTTCACCTGATTCTTGTTGCACTTTCATTCTTTCAGTCTGAACTTTTGCAGAGGAAGCTTTTCTTTTGAGTTTCAAGCAGATAAACATCCTGTTAATTATTCAGTCAGATAAAAGAAATGTTGGTCTGGTAGACCTGGCGTTGGGTCGGTAATCTTGGTTCCTGTTCGAACACCTGTTGAAGCAGGATCTATGTAACCATCCAGATGTTTGCTGCTGTCTTTCCAGATGTGGATGAGTGCAAACGTTTCCATCCTGAGGTCTGTAAGAACGGAGTGTGTGTGAACAACATTCCTGGGTACAGCTGCTACTGCTCCAGTGGATTTGTTTACAACAGCGTGCTGCTGGAGTGTGTCGGTACCAACACCACTCAGCCCGTCTCAGCCCGGTTCAGGACTTGTTTCTGTTGGACAAACGGAGCTGTTTGTGTTTGTTTCAGATCATGATGAGTGCGAGGAGGAGAGCTGTGTGGGAGGACTTTGTGTCAACACAGTGGGTTCATATTTCTGCAGCTGTCCGCCTCCTTTGGTGCTCGATGACACCCAGAGGAACTGTGTCAACGCCTCCCACCTCACTGTGGGTAAGACCCAGACCTTCCTCCTCCTCTTCTTCAGGTCTGCAGCCTTCGGTTTGGGGGTCTGTCAAATGAGTTCTTGTGTAGAGCTGACAGAGGAGCTGAAAGTGAGAAGATGATGTTTGGTTTCTTGTCTCCAGATGAGAACCTGTCTGTGTGCTGGCAGCACGTCTCTGCAGACCTGCTGTGTCAGAGTCCTCTGCTTGGAGCTCAGGTCACTTTCATCGACTGCTGCTGTTTTTATGGGGAGGGCTGGGGGATGGGCTGTGCCCTCTGCCCCGCCACCGACTCTGGTAAATAACAACAAATACACAACAAACATCTTCTAAACAGTTTGGTTTATGTGGTAAAAACATGAACTCTAACGCTACGGTTTCCCTTTACTGTGGAATGTCTCTGAATCTGAAACTATGTTAGACTGGTCCTWTCAGGAGACTGATAACCAGGTTGGAAAAAAAAGTTACAAGAAGAAACTAATAGATTGCCTGAAAAGTTTAGAGCAGGACAAGGCTATCAATCGGATTCTGTATCATAGACTGTACCCAGGTGAGGCCACTCCTAGTCTATGGTTTACCCAAAATTCACAAACAGGATGTACCGGTAAGACCYATTGTYAGCATGATCAACTCTGTCACTTACAATGTTTCTAAATATCTGACGTCTATACTTGGTCCTTTAGTTGGCAGCTCAGAACATCACATACAGAACACTATGGACTTTGTTGACAAGGTGAGGGATGTCATCATGGAGGCGGATGAAACTATGGTCTCTTTTGATGTTGCATCGCACTTTACGTGCGTTCCTGTTGATAAGGCAGTGGATGTGGTCTGTGCACGATTGAGGTCGGACACCACTCTCGGCAGCAGAGCCACACTTTCCACAGAGCAGGTGTGCCAACTCCTCAAACTGTGCCTGGAA